GCCGCTCTGTTCCGCAGGGCAACTTGATTGCGCGCTCCCTGAACATACGTGATGTGCAAACCCGGGAACTCTGCAAGGAAGTCTAGCCACCGGGCGGTGCGTCCGCGCAGAGGCTTCGATGCTTGGAGTCGTTGGAGATGGGTTAGAGCTTGATGATCAGTGTAAGCCGTTACCTTGGAGACACGGAGCAAGTGCGACCACTTGTCCAGCGCCGTGACCAACGCCAAGAGTTCATGATCGTAGATCGAGTATCTCTGTCGCGTGGGGCTCATGACTTGGCTGAGGAAGCCGATGGGTTTACCGTCTTGTTCGAGAACTGCTCCGATTGCATAACCAGAGGCATCTGTGTATAACTCGAAGGGTTTCGTCGTGTCAGGGACTTGTAAGATAGTGAAGTCGATTAAGCGCTGTTTGAGCTGCCGCACCGCTTGCGTGTGGAGCTCTGTCCATTTGAAACTGACGCCTTAACGCGTTAGATCAACCAGCGGCCGGGCAACGTCTGCATAGTCAGGTCTCATGAACATGCGACAGTAGTTTGTGGTACCGAGGAACTGGCGCACTTGCGTTTCGTTCTCCAGCACCTCTGGCCACTGCCGGATGGCTGCGATTTTATCTTCTGCGGGTTTGATCCCCGTAGCCGAAATGGTATAACCCAAATAAGTAACTGTTTCCCTTGCAAATTTTTTGGGTAGAACTGGTGTCTAAGAAAAATGCTTAGGACTTGTCGCAGAAGCGAAGTGTGCCCAGAGAGATCAGAACTATAGATAAGTACGTCATCTAGGTACGCAATAACGCCCTGGCCCAATAAAGGTTGTAGACAGGCATTAATATTGGCCTGGAACGTAGCGGGAGCACCCTTAAGGCCGAAGGGCATCACGCGGTACTCGAATAGTCCGAGAACGGATCGGAAAGCCGTCTTCCACCGGTCTTCCTTAGCCATACGTACTTGATGGAATCCTGCTCCAAGATCCAAGGTGGAAAAATACTTGACGCCTCCCAGCAGCTCCAGAATGGTTTGAATGGGAGGTAGTGGAAAATCAGGGGCTATCGAAAGGGCATTTAGAGCTTGGTAATTGACAACCATACGCATCTTCCGCTCCCCGGAGCCATCATCACGTTTGTCCACCATGATCGTAGGAGAGCAAATAGGCGAATAGGTCGGTCCAATCCAACCACTGTCCGATAGTTTAGCTATCTCCTGTTTGTGGAATGTGAGCTGATCTGGGGTCATACGGTATATTGCAGATCTCGCTGGGAGTTTTCCAGGCACAAGGAGAATATGATGATCATGAGGGCGCTTCGGAGGTAGGTCTTTAGGTAAGGTATCGGGAAAAACCGCTCGATACTCGTGCAACACCTGGGCAACCTCACATGGAATATCCTGCGCCTCTGTCAAATTTATCCATTCGTCGAATAGAGTGTGCTCGAGTTTTGCCGTAGGCCAGGGAGACTCCTCGTCACTCTCCGCTGCCACCGAGGCGGTTGAGGCCAAAAGACTACGGCAGCCGGAGGACGTGGGTTTACTCCCTATCTACGCGCAACAAAGCGCGCCTTGCCATTCATCCGAGAGCCTTAAGGGCACTGCCGAACCGGCTTCGGGTAGAGCCAGTATGAGATGCAAACCCTGCAATGGAGTACTGATATCATTTGTGTCGTCCGCCGCCTGACGAACGAGCGACGTTATCCGCGCCTTCGCCTTAGTCTTTGCGTGGGACTTATACCTCCTTGGAGGCGGGCGTAGGTATGCGGCTGCCTCCTCGGCTGACATACCCGCCACTTGTTTGGCCAATATCTCGTATGCTTGCTCTGCTGGGGTCCTTGGGTGGACTACGGTGGCAGTATCACGTTGCAGCGTCGTTTCACCAGTTCGAACGACCGGTAACTCGCACCACTGGCCATTCACATAGGTTCGGAGCTTGTCTGACTGGAAATACCAGGCCACCTTGTGTTCCGTCAGCCAATCCAAACCCAAGACTAAGTCGTAGGGAACGGGTCCCACCAGAACGTCCTCGGAAAAACGCGTATGTCCGCACCACAGCGTCAATCCCGTCACTACCCGATCAATACGTAGTTGTGCCCCTGTATCAACAGTGAACCTATGTTCTTTTGGAAGTCTCCGCACTTTCAGCTGCAGTCGTTCGACTATTTTAGGACTAATGAAACTTCGCGAAGCCCCAGTGTCCAAGAGGGTCTCACAAGGACTCCCCGCGAGCTCAACGCGAAGTACCGCCGTCGCACCCGCACAACACAACGCTCCCCCTTGATCGTAAGACTCTTTCGTACAAGTCTCCCTCCACCAGTGTGGCACAATCTCTGTCGCGTCAGACCTATGGCCGTCGTCTGTTACCTCTGCAGACTTCCTGCTGCTATTCAGCGTCGCGTCCGGAGTCTCTTCACTCAGGATCGACGTTGACCCAGACTCCCGCCGCGTTTCCGAAAACGACTGAGTCCCTTCCGCGCGCTCATCGCTCTTATAAGCTCCTCCCGCAGTGCGGAGGAGTTGGTTTCCCAACTCAAGGGAGACTGGAATGGCATTAGGACCTGTCTCTACCGCACACATCATCCCTTTGCCATGGCTACGCGGCCTAGAACGCTCGTCTCCACCCACGCCTAGGTCCGCACGTTTGATCGTTCCGTCTTCTCAGGGCTAGGACGGGTGGGCGCTCTACTGCTCTTGTCCACCTGCTCGGGCCGGCCTCGTTTATACGTAGGACAGTCCCGAGCATAGTGTTGTGTCAGAGCACATCACCTTGCAACAGCACACTCATACAAACTTAATACGTATGTTTATCTGGTACTTTTGCGCTTTTGCCTTTTGCGCGATAGACTCTGCTCAGCCCCAGCTACGTAGTTTGAAAGACTACAACGTTACGAAGCAGGAACCCCGAATGTCGTAATACTTGATTTCATAAACATTGGGCACAAAAAGAATAATTTTGGTGCAAGAGAAAGCCCCCTTGGACCAGGCTAGGAGTAGAGTGTTCTGCAGATCAGCGGGCGTTTGGGGCTGGCAGAGTGACACAACTCCTTGCTTCTGAAAGATCTAAAGGTCATCTTTTCCTGCGCAGGCCCTTCTCCACGCTGTAATCTCCTTGTCCGTAACTTACTCGCAGTGGAGCAAACTACAGTTCTACTTTGTCTGAGAAATGTTAGGGTGAGCTGGGTACCTTTTCACACTTGACTCTGAGACGGATTTTCACCCAATTCATAAGCCAAAAGCCGACTGGCGGACGACCGCTCTTTCCTGAGTTCCAGACGTAGATCATGCCTTTCGGTCTTAAGGGCACTTCAGCTACCCTCTGGGCTAGTGTCAGTTCTTGTCTTTAATCTTTGTTGTGAGGTAGTGTCCCGGAATTTCTCGACGATATCTTGACCTTCATCCCCCATATTGCTGTCCACGCTACCCTCATACGGCACGTGCTCGGCATCTTTCTCCAATATTAGTGCTCCCCCAAGCTTCGCAAATGCAAGTTCGTGAAGCGATAATTTGCTTTCCTGGCTGAGATATACTATCAGCGCTCAACGTATCAAGCTCGCAGCAGACAAAGTTCCAGCTATTCGTGATTGGCCAGAAAGACTGGCTAACGAGACACGTCGATTTCTCGGTACTGTCAATTACTGTCTCATGTTTATGAGCCCGACTACGCCAGCGTGGCCTGACTCGTTATCAAACTCGCTCGCAAACGCATTTTCCTTCAGTAAAAGGAGCGGCACGCTTAAGCAGTGCAACGCCTTGAGTAGCGCCTAATTGTGTACAGTGCTGTACACGCTCCCCACACCATGATGTCTTTTAAGCTTTATACGTCGAACGCATTATGACAGCTAGAGGCGCACTGTGGATTATTGTGCGCTAGCAGGAATAAGCATAAGAGCTTCTTGTGTACCCAGTGTAATTCTTCCAACACCTACAGCGCACCTGCACGCCGTGCCACAAGTGTTGCGGGCGCGGCGTCGGCACACCTGTGTTCCTATTCTCGCTACACAGGTGCACACAAACCGAATAAGGACAAAGGAGTCCATATATTTCACTTCAAAGCATAATAAGCCACCTCTTTCAGCTTGTGCGGCCTCGCGGAGGCCCTCGGCGTCGCACGCTGCACCAGTGACACTGCCCTTTGTGCAGCGTACAGTGTTTCTCTAGTGAGCATATAGTGAGCTTACAATGACGTAATCCGTGGAAAGAACTTGACTTGATGTAAAATTAGCATTAAATCAGGTCAATTAGGCCAGCCAGCTGTGAGCGCCTACCGGGCAGGAGCGGCAACGGGCTATGAGCGCCAAAAGCGTATCAGGCTTTCGGGGATGACTGAGTTGCCGAGACGATGACACAAATCAGCGGATCAAAACCTGGGGTCAGGTCTTTTTTAATCTGCTTTTCATGGGGAAAAAAACGGGAATTGAACATGACTGGTGGCTTAATGCATGGAATTAAGGAGATTTCGCGTGAATTTGTCGGGATGCACCTCGCAGAGAAGCAGTCAGGTCTGCACCTAGTAGCATCATTAAGTCCGCTTGCGCACTACAATAATGCAGTGGCCTCAAGAGAAGCAGAAATCAATATGAGATCGACATTAGCCACATCAGCAAACACCTATGAAGGTCACCGCCGTCATATATCTTGAAAGATGTCGTATAGTGATACAAGTCTTAAGGCCAAGAAGGAAAATTTCGAAAACTTTGAGGAAAGGGCAACGCGTGGCGCCGGCAGGCTAGATGCCACAAGCACAGAGGCCCTTCCAGAACCGATGGAGCGCAAAAGGAAACCAAAACTAAGGAAAGACGAGCAGATGTTTGCCATGCTGTGTAGCTTTGATATCAAAGATGGAAAATTTCTAGTTGTCAGAGCAACAAAGAAGCTCTGCAGGCGTCTCGCCATATAAGGCAGACTTACTACGTGTAAGCCACTAATCTCTTGTGCTACACACAGCAGGCGGAAATGAAAAGTCAAGTAGACCCCGAGCACACCGCTGCAGTGCCCTAGGCTAAAGGTGCAAACAAAGCTGTCTTCCGATATTATTCTTTGCATGCAATCGATTCGGTCTGCCGTGGCTAGCACAGTTCAGTTTTTGCAACGGTGCCTTTTAGGAACCGCGGCTTTTTAACTAACGCGTTTACCCCTCGCTGTAAAGATGGATTGGTTAGGTTTATACTCGATAGTACACCTTTTTGCTAGCCAAGATACGCATGCAACATGCATGCAGTAGCCAAGCTGGGCTTGGCAGAGCCCACCGACGCTACTCTGACAGAAAGCGTGGTGCCAAGCATGAAGACACCTTAAAGCGGGCACAATTAGTTGGCAACACAAGTTTTACACTGAGGTCTGGCATAAAACCGTGATTGCACTGCGATATTTCATTTAGACCCAGGGTGCTTGCCAAAGCGATGTTTTTTCAACAGCACCCAAGGCATGTGCGATACCGAAAGTTCTTCCCAACTCCGGTCCTATTGCCTTGCAGAGGACCCGTACAGTCCCGCGAAGCAGCAGCAGCATACAACACAAAAAATTGCATATTTTATCCTGAAAAGTTTGCACCGAGTGAGCCAGAGACAACTTGTGCGCGAGCATGTGCAGCTTCCAGCCGCCGCCAAATGCAGCTCGATTGTGTCTAGCCCCTGCGGGCACCTTAAGGGCTTGAAACGGGTGAAACACAAGCGGTAAGCATAACTTGTGGGAGTAAAATGTAACTTTAATCAATTTTGCCAGGAAAATAGCACGTTTAGCCTCGTGTAGGCCAAGAAACGAAAGCCCCCCTGCAGCTCCGTGGTGGAATGCAGCCCTTGGGGCCAGCAGCAGAGGCTGTTATTGTTGCTGCTCATATTTTTTTGCGTAATTGGACATATTTGTGGTGGTTGTCTCTTCATTGTTTTAAAATTGCATATTTTTTTACTCGAAACGCCTTAGAGGAAAAGCCCCTCGGGGCTCACTTCTCCATTCTTTTGGAATGAAGGCGCACTTCAAACTTGTCGGCCCCGGGAGTATGCTACTGTTAGCAGGCAGAAATGTTGCCACCCCCGCTGTGGTAGCAGCTGCTGTTGCTTGTGCTTCATTATTGGTGGCTACCTCTCAAGAACTAGAGGCTGCTATGACTGAAACTGCTGCTGCAACGGACGCCAGTGCTGCAGCAGCAATGGGAGCAGGCATCGCTACGAGCGATGACGCTCCGGCGTTCCCGCCGTTGCCTGCAGCCGTCCCAGAGGACTCTGTGGACTTACCTTTTGACCAAATGCATTTTTATTGGGGTTCTCCCCGTCAGATTCACCAAAGAGCGGCAGCTTTCTCCCTGAGCGCTGCCCTGATCGCTCTCGCCACCGTCGTGTACGTGGTGCTGCGCTGCAGCAGGTTTCTGCCGCGTCGCCAGCGCAGCGACTCGAAATCCGAATTGCGCTTCACAACAGCTCGCTCGTTGGCAGCAGAGGATGCAGATGATCCGGAGGATCACGAAGAAGAAGACTCTGGCGAAAACGGGGGAGTTGTTGAAGGTTACTACGCAGAAGAACTTTGTTACCCAGTGGAAAACGAGTTGATCACCCAAGTGTACAAGCAGGTGCACCGACTGTCGCTCAGCGCCTCCGAGGCTGCTGCTTTGAGCGAAGTGGAAGCCCAGAAAGTGACGCTGGCGCAGCACCAGCTGCAGCGGCTGCAACGCATTGTCATTCAACAAGCCAAAGTCCTGCAAGACTACGAATCAGCAGCAAAATTCGACGCCAGACTGCTGGAAAAACGAATAGGAGAGCTGCCTCCTGGGGCCGAGTTTCCCGAGCATGTGCTGCGGCTGCAGCAGCAAGTGCTGGCGGACAAGCGGCGGCTGCAAGCCTTCCAGCGGGACTTGAAAAATATGAAGCACCAACTCTACGAAGCTTCCTCTGCTTCTTGCCAGAAACGAAGAGCTTCGCTGATCCGGGCCAAGCGCGTGTTCACGAAGCTAAGTGCTTCTCCAGGTGCTGCTGCTGCACTTGCTGCAGCAGAAGTTGTACTGCGCGTGTTCCCGCCCCCCCCCGAAGACTACCCGGGCGCGGGGCCTTCCCACGTTGAAATGCTTCCTGAAGGACAACAGGGGCCTTCTTTTAGTGCTCGAAGGTACTTGGATTCTTCTCCGAAGCCTCGCAGTTCATTTTCCTTCGCCTTCGCCACATTGCCGCGCGTGGGGGCCGCTCTCGAGGAAGTCAAAGCTCCGAGGTCTGCCCCTCCTTCCATCACGCTGCAGCGAGGCAGCAGCAGCTGCAGCAGCTGCAGCAGCAGCAGCAGACGAACCTCCCGCAGAAGCTTGTACTCCAGTTTTTTCAAGCTGCCCCACGCCGGCCTGCCCTTCGGCAGGAAGTCTGGCACAAAGCCTTGCTCACACTCGCAGCCGGACCTGCCACAGCAGCAGCAGCA